CAAGTCGAGGTACTCTAAATTTAATAAAGGTTCCAATATTTTAGGAGCAATATTCGCCATTTCACTGTTTGTTAAAGAAACTTTTTTCAGATTGACAAAACCCTCGAAAAAATCATCGTCGACATATAGCAGGTCATTGTCGTTCAATGAAATTTCCTGGAGACTTGTGAAATCTTTCAGATACTCTTTTTTAATTGGCAAATTATATCCATCGTTAAATACTGATGACAATTTTTTGCCGAATGACGATGATTCAATTTTTAATTTCGTGATATTTAAATGGCCAAATATTTTTCTGATGGCATTACTTACAGCAGTTGGCTCAGTAAATTGACACTGTATAAAAGTAGCTCCCAAAATTGTTTTATTTTTCAAAAATTCAGACTTTTTAGGCCAATATTTTGTCATTTTTGTTGTTATCTCAGAATCATCCTTGTCATCGATGAGTGATTTATAAAATTCATCTTCATCAATGATACCATAGTAAACATGAAGTGATTTTGCTGAAGAAACTTCATGCTCCAGACATTGCAAACTTCCAGGACACTGAGCAGCCCACGATGATGTAATGAATAATAGCAGGTAGAACCAACTGGCTTTCATTTCCAAAACCTAAAATTGAAAAATAAAATAAGAATTATTAAACTTTTATAAAGTAAATTATATTATTTTTTGTAGAAACGGCGTAATGTATTACTAATCGGGATAGAATAGACAACTTTATTACTTATCTTTAAAGTATACATTTTTCCGTAATTGATGTTCTAATTTACTCCACCATCGGAATAATAATAATAACTAAAAAATAGATGCATATCGCCTACGTGTATATTCAAACTAGATTACTTAAAAAATTTTTTGTTCTTATCTATCAGTGAGTAAACAGTAGAAAATTTATAAACAAAAATTTATTTCAGTATATGTTAGTCACTGCTAATGATATCTAACATATTTTTTTTCAATCAACTAAAGATAAATTTCAGGAAATTATTTTCTCTTTAGATATTCATATTTTTTTAAATGAATATTTTAACAATAAGTTAAAAATTGCATTAAAAAAAATCAAGAAAACGAAATAATAGGAAAAGTTTCACGAATCAAAAGAAAAGAAATAAATGTCTCTTATGAAGAATATAAAATAATTGGTATGTTTATTTTTTTTTTTTGTAATTAAAACAACTTTTAAAAATCCACTTTTTAGTAACATATAAAATCATATTCTGTTCTTTTTTTATTGGAAACGATTAACTTAAAATAAATTGAACGAATATAAGTAAAGTAAACATGACTTACCTATTTTCTTTAAATTTGAGAATTAATTATCGCCGTTCTCTGAAAGTTTGTTGTTAAAATAAAATTCAAAATATTGAATATTTAAACTAAGCAAAATTTTCACGTGTTTTTCAAAAAAGAACTAGAAAAATTAACCTTCAATCAAGTAATGATATTCAGTGAAGACTAACGTAGTTTAGTAATTACCTCGTGGCTAACTGACAATTGTACAGAGTTTTTTTTCTTTTGTCCAGAATTATCTATTAGTAGAATCGAACCATGAATTTCCCCACTTTTTAGAATATCGATAGTGAAATTTAAAATTTTAAAATGACTAACGTAACTATATACTTCTAAATGTATACTTAGATATTTATTTTAATAATAAATAAAGATAATTTTTAATAAAAAAAAAATTTCGGTTAGTTAATTTTAATTTCCTGACTGCATACTTAATTAATAAAAAATGAATAAATTAAGTTAAATAAATAATTAATGACTATATACTAAATATAAACTAGAAGAGAACAAAATAGGAATTACACGGTATATAATAATAAATAACAAAAATATAAAATAAGTTGTTATAGCACATATATTCATTTATTATACGTAGATTGTTCATAGCTTATTATTCGTCTATCTTTTATAGCAACAGCAAGTATTACAGTATTACAGTTTGGTCAGATTAACAAATGTGATATATTATTATTATTATTATTATTATCGCCAATCTGCCGTAAATGTGACAATCATACAGCAAATCCGGATGAACTGTATGAGTGACTGAGCCCCATACAAATACGGCAGGTTAGTGAATAGATGCCTTTCGATCATCCGGATACGAAGGCGTCTATTGCTTTTTTTTTTATATTAAAATGAATTTTTCAATAGTATTTGATTTATTACATCTGTTTTTTTTATTTTTCAATGAATTATTTTTCAAGACATCCAGCGGAGTCTACGGGAAAAGTCGTTTAGGTGCAAGAGCGCGTTCTACAAGCGCTTTTTAACACAAACTAAGTGTCTGCATGTCGTATCACCTGCGACTTTTAAAATGTTAATGAATTTATAATTGTTCGTTCTTAACAACTTAATTTTCTTTTGTTTATAATATAATCTTTCATACTATCTCGTTCTATCTTACTTAATCATACTCTCACGTACACATTTGACATTACCAAGGCATGTACATATATCTCATCAATATCAGCTATTTAATTTTTCTTTCATCTCGTAATCTCACTCCGAATTTAATAGACCCAAGCATCGCAACACAGCCCACGTGAGTCCTGTTTACTCTGTACACCGTACAGCTTCTTTTTACTATGTAATTAATAATTAATAATTAACTGTTTAATCTAACAATTAAATATTTCACGCGTTTATTTATCCTTTATAATTATTATTAAATATATTTATAATTTTTTTTATGACCAAATAATTACACTCATCAGCGTATCGTATACTAAGAAATACACACATCGAACTGATATTAATATTTATTTATCTTTATCATCATCATCATCATCATCATCATATTCTTCATTATCTATTTCATAATTAACTCTCTTAAATCTTAATCACATCTTAGAGCTACATTTGTTTTTATATATATTATTATTTACATCTTTTTGGCACCTAAATTGTCTGTCATCGAATGACACCAATCTATAACATGCATCCAAGGAATCGAACAAAACTCACCATCGATCTCTACACCCTATATATCTTCTTTTATTTATTTCATTTTAATTTTTAAATTTTAAATTAAATTCAATATCAATACAAGTTTATTTAAATATTTATTAATAATTAATATCATTAGACGCGTTAAGTCATCATTCCATGGTTGACTCACAGTGTCTGTGTCGCAGAATCACCCGGGAACGTTCCGTATGTAATATTCATTACCATTAAACTGTTTTATTATTTTATTTTTCATTTCAAATTGTAGTATGGATATTGTTTTTATTTATTTGTTTTCTTCATTTAAGTAACTAGTTTCATTTCTTGGATCGTTCAAATGACCGCGACGTGTCAGAACAACTCAAGTGAACACGTTTTAAATAGATACTTTGGCATACTTTATTATTATTATTATTGTAATTATTATTTTTTTATTTATTTTTAAATTGAATTGTACATTTTTGTGATATATTACTATTATATTTTCCTATCAAGGCTCATACAAATTTATTTTATTAATTAACTTTAATATTATTACTCTCATTTTAGTTACAATTAATATTATTATTATTATTATTATTACTAAAGAAATTTGTATGAGCCGAGTCCTTTTATTTGTACATATATATCGGACGTCACCAACTCGTCTTATAACTTTTTTTCTTCAAGTTTTTATTTTATTTTTGTGCAGTATTTGTTATTAACTACAATACTACTTAAATAAAGTTTTGAAGACGAATTGATAAACACGCCGTACCCGCGGTTATTTGTGTCTCGAATTATTTATTTATTTTCAATTTTTTTCTACATGAATTACACTTATTTATTATTTACTTATTAATTGAATAAATAACTTTGTCCTAGATAAAACTGACTGCGACTGGTTGTTATTTTTAGATATTTTTTTTTCCAGACTGCCCGGCAGTCAGATTTAACAATCACAAAATAAAATTTAATTACTAATACAATTTAATTTTTAATTTAAATATTTGTATTTTTTTTTTTTTTTTTTTTAATAATAATAATATTTTATCAATAACAATTAACATTTATTATTCAGTTTTTATTCATGGCTATTAGTACGATATTTTACTAATATTCTTGCCATTAATAGTTAGTTTTATTGTTATTGATTCATATAATTTAATTTACAATTTAACCATATACATGAAACATAATATGCAATAAAGATTTTTTTTTATTTATTTTTATATTTGTCGTAATCACATTTTAACTAACGATCTAATTGAAAAAAAAAAAATAAATAAAAAACGTAGAACTTAATATAAATAAATACACAATAATCAATAATTAATAATAAATTATATATGAATGTTATATTTATTGTGCAATTTTAATAATTTTAAAATCTATCCAAGTGTGTGTACTAAAAAAATATTTATCAATAAAACTACAGAGTGTGCTATGATTGTGAACATTTAAAAATGATAATATATATTTTTTTTATTTTTTTATTTGTAATAATTAAACTATTTGTAATTTGTAAAAAGAAATTTTTCAAATATCGAGCACTTATCATAGTAATTAATGCTTTGTGTCTGTCAATAAAATTTAATTGTAAAATTATTATTATCTAACACGTCGGTATTTTAGTCACATTTCAGTAATAAATAAATATTTTTTTGTCTTTAAGTAGTTATCATTTGAATTCAGTTGCTTCAAGGAAAGGATCCCGCGATATTCCTTTTCGCTTATTATGAACCATCATATCATATCAATATACGTTGTAATAAAGTATACGTACTACTTATATTAAAAATTTCTACATATATTCGTACTATAAATATATGTATATATCGCCCGTAATAAGTCACTCAGCGTCATAAGTAATAACGATAACATATCATAGATGAATTTTTAATAAACGTATTAAATTTATCACTGCAGTATGTTGCTGTTGTTGTTAATGTTGTTTTGGCTTATTGTACAAATAAGAATCTAAGTAAACAAATGTTTATACACCGTGCGATGATTCTCAATCAGAAGCACCATAGCAGACACTGAGGATGACACCTTGCTCAGAATACCTCTGGATCCGTTGGATCATTGGATGTTGATGGTTGTGGTCCTGTTGATGGCATATTTGCGTCTGTATCCCGTCGCTTGACTTTACCCTTCGTCTTCTTCAGCATCGCGGCCTAATTAAGGGACAGGATCAGGGATTGCACAAAGGCGACGATCGATAATCATTTTTTTTTTCTTTTTAAGTTTTTTTCATATAACAAGGAATATATATCAAAGTCGCGTTTACGTTTTCAAACAAATGGAAATTCAATGATAAATATAGATAACAATAACCCGTGACATAAAAAGTTAAAGATGACACAATAAAATGTGATAAAATAAATAAAAATACATATCCTACTTCAATATACGTATATAATAATAATAATAATAATAATAAAATATGGTGATAAATGAAGTATAATAATAATAATAGTATAACAACGATAGTAAAAAATACTGTTTGGAAAAATAACATGGCAAATTTATATTATATGCATTCATCTATATAAACGTATTTGACGTTTATGTACATTTATGCATACATATATCCATAATATACGACGAGAAGCTCAAACTGCATATAGGGCAAAGGTACTGGAATTAATGGAGACAATGATAGTGGAATATATTTATATGTGGAATAAAATGTATATTTAGGGTGACTTTTAAAAATTTTTTATTTTCATTTTTACTTTAAAGCTTCATAACCAATTTTTATTTCGGTTTGAAATATCTTTAATGAAATTACTATTTTCAACAATAACGATAATTTATTTTTAATTCTTGAAGTTAAGATGAAAAATATTATCTATAAAAATATTCAGAGATTGGAAAATTTTAATTGTATTAAATTTACTTAGAAGTGAAAGACTTTGAAATGTTTATAAGTGAACTAACTCTAATAATTATTTTTAACTTATTTACAAATAAACAGTTTATTAAAAGACATTTTACATCTGTGAATGTATCTTTAGAATTTTAAAAATCGGAAAAAAATTTCCATTCACGAGCTTTTTTCACATGAATTACAATAATTGTCTACTGTTGAGAAAAATGAAAATATCGAGTTTTTTTTCAATCACCCTAATAAATATACATATGTACGGATGTATATATTTATATAATAAAAATGGATAAATATTGTATATAATATATATATATATATATATATATATATATATATTATAGAGAGCAAGAGAGAAAGGAAATGAGAAAATACTGAGAGCTTGAGATAGAGATGAATTTGGGTAGAGTATATAGAGGTAGCATGCATCGGGGATTCGCTGGATCGACCGTATGAAAGGTTTGCCTTGTCCAAAACTCCCCTTTCTTTATTATACACTGCACGCGCATGTACTAACGCACGCGTGCACGGAGGAGTCCAGACAGAGATTGCAAACTTTGTTTATTTTTTTTTTGTATTTGTTTCTATGTAATTTTAAGACTTAAGAATTTTAATGACAGACAAAAAAAAAGTTAAAAAAAAAAATGAATGCGACGACCGATTTGTATTTAGCTGTTGAATTGGGATGATTTACTCGTCTGTGCACTTGCCCCCCTCCCCATTAGCCGGTTGTATTGACGGTTCTGTATTCCGACGTCGGATTTTATTTTTCTTCAACATGGTAGCCTGAAGTGAACAGAGGAATAAGGAAGATATAATTAGTAGACTGCGATTTGGGCATATGATGAAAGGGAGGATCACATGCGCTGACGGACTATTGGTTTAGCTGCTTAGGTTTAGCTTTATTAATATATTTGATGATGCTTTCTCGGATAAAATAGCCGCGGTATATACTTTTTTTCCAAATTTATTTTTAACACACTACTTGCTAGGTAATACCTATAATGATAGTTGATAGTTAACACTTAGCGTGCGACATAAATACTGTAATAATTTATAAACGTGCTGTAGATTCAATACAGCAACAGCATGTAAATTCAATTTTATATTACTTTATTAAATCCATTAGAAATTTTTTAATTAAAATTTTTTAATCAATTTATTTTTTTTTTTTTTTTATCAAGTATTAATTATTTTTTAGTAAAATAACTAAATGTTAATTATTTGCTGTATTGAATTAATAAATAGCTACGGTATGAAATGAAAAATGAATGTTACCTTGAGAGCAGACTTGAGAATAACTACTACACTTGGAGTCTGGGTCCATGGCTCACCATCGACTTGTACTGGTACATCCGAACTCAAATGAATTTTTATATGTCCGCCCTGGTAATAAAAAATGACGTGATATATGATACTTATGTATGTACTATTTGTATTTTTATAGAAGATAAGCTAGAGAAAAAAGATAGTGACAATGATAAAAAATAAAAAAAGTTTTATTATTAATCTTACTTGTGCTATTCTCATAGCTGAGCGGAAACCAGATTGGATTTGTCCCAAGTGTGCAACGCCTGTAACTCCTACGACCTCTAATAAACCGTCGTAATGATTTGGTTTACGGAATTGGTCGTCTGGGCCATCGCCCCATGGCTTTGCTCCAGAACCCCAGCTACAAATTTACCACGTTATTATGTTAATATTAATGTGCTATGCATATATATTATTTATTTCCAGTAAATTAAATAAAAATGTTAATGTAAACCTCTGGATGTTTAAAATAATCATTCCTTCGAGTGGCGGCAGATCAATCACTTTATTGTCAACCTCCAGCCTAATTTTCCTTTGCATATCTCGGCACGTTTTATCCAACATTTTCTTTACTCCCATTTTAACGTAGACTCCTTTATTGTGCAATCGACTGTTGAATTTATCAGGATTTTCTTCCCGGGCGTTGTGAAATCCCAGGCATAGGTCCGCGTCAATACCAAGACCGAAGTAATTATTCATAACAAACATTTGTGCGTTATCTTCACTCGTAGATCCAGCTCCTTAAATATTAATTTGTTATTTTATTTTTAAGCTTTTAGTTTTATTGTGAAAAAATATAAATTATAACTGACTCATGACAGAGACAGATATGAAGAAAAACATAAAAATAAATAAATAACTCATTAAATTTTTATAAAAAAAAAAAAAAAAAAAAAAAAAAAAAAAATGATGACATTTTTACATTTAATTAATAGTTTTTCAAGCTGACATTTAATTTATTAAAAAAGATATGAAGGTTAATTATAAATTTAAAATGAAATGACTAATAACTGATGACTATATTTACCCGTAGCATCATCTTGATCTTGAGGATGAAATACAACAGTCCACCTGTCGAGCATAATCTCTTCAGCATCGATAACATCTCGTAGAAGATTAATTGGATCTTCGCCACCAGTATAACCGGGTCCCCAACATAATACTCGTGCAAGATCGTTACCCGTTCCTAAGGGCACAATTGCACAGGCTGGTGACGAGCACTCACTGTCTTGTCCTACATTGTCTAAACACTGTAATACCCATCCTATCGTGCCATCGCCACCGCAAACAAGTATCTTGTAATTCCTTATATGCCGAAACATATACATCCTGATGTACATGAAAGATAAACCATCCGAGCGATCGATGAGCAATATAACAAACAAACCAACAAACAACATACAAAAAAAAAATTAGTGTAAATATATACAGGGAGATTAAAATATTACAGATGGTGGATGGTGGATGATAGATAGACGGGGGTTGGAATTTAATCGATCAACTTACCCGGGAAGTGGACCGCCATTGTCCAAGTCAAATACTTGGTATGGATTCAAGAGTTTGCGGAAACTGGTGACTAATTCGTGACCTTGGCATCCACCCGATTTGACGTTGACAAATACCAACAGTGGTTGGACACCCGCTGGTATCATGGTTGGTTCAATACTTGGTAGAAGCATAACCAGCAGATTTTTGTCTTCATATTTCGATTCACGTAGGATGTATAATGCACGAACGGCTTTCTCCAGGTCTTCGTAAATTATTACCATGCACCCGTGCTCATAATAAATTGGACCGATCGACTTGAATTTGTTTTCTGAATTTTTTAAACAATTTATTATTTGCTACTGTACTGAGATAAGAAATTTAAGAAAAAATCTAGTTACTTTTTATAATCAAGAATCAAAGTGATTTGATTTTTAAATTTTAATTCAATTAATCAATCAGATTGTGTTTATTAAAAAAATGAAAAAATTACCTATTCCTAAAAAATCAATGAGAATATTTTCATAAAGCTTCTCATTTAAGCTTGCTGGTAAATTGGCAACGTATAGTGCGACATTAGAACCGTGTGGATCTTGTTTTAATTGTAGATAAAATCTCATTAGCTCCCGTTGTCTAATAGAATCTTTTCCTAATTGTTTTAATATCTCCAATGGCTTTTCGGCAGTGTCCATCACCCTCTCTGTAACTACTCAATTAAATTATTTCAATTAGCAATATTACTTTTATTAAAACTATTAAATTTTTAATTATTCGTTTTAATATACTAAATGTAAATAATAATTATAATTACCATCACGATCCATGAGAACTTCACTGCATCTATAGTCTTCAATGTTTGCGTTGGGTTGGTTAAATTGAACCAGTGCTTCACTCATAAGATCAGCTACTGTTGTTTCTTCATTTATTGTTACTGTACAATAAGTTTGAAGTACATTAAGTTTACCAGGGTAGACACGAACTTCACTACTTAATTGGTCTCTGTTAAAACAAAAAATATAAATTTATTTTATGTATAATGTTAATAAAATTATTACCTTAAAGATATACATTTTTAATTTAATAAGACAAAACAAATTATTTGTGAAAAAACAAACCTATGTCGCAGAAAAACACCTCGGCGTTTGCCTTCTTTACGATGCAAATTAAGTACTGGCGTTGGATCACACAACCGCGTCTCTTCGGGCGCGTACAAATCAGTTAGATAAAAAGAACCTGTGAACACATTCAATTTTTAGAATTAAAATATCAAGATTCTTGAATAATTTTTCACTGAAAATATAAAATGTATAATTAAATAAAAATAATAATAAAAACATACTCAGATGTACTTCCGTGATGTGATACGCTTTAAGAGCCGCCGCTAAAACTTCCGCTGTAGATGCTTGCCGAGGAACTGAGATTACCCGGAATATTTTTCGCTTAAGGGACAAATTGCCGTCGTAAACTTTAATCATTTCTGTAGACAGTTTAATGTTATTAAAATATTATATTTTTTATTATCTGCATTAAAAGTCCGGCTTAAAATATGAGAGCCAGGAAAAAATAATTAAAGAAGTGGTATTATATAGAGAGAAAATATAAAAGAGAAAAGAGGAAATATAGATATAGATATATATAAAAAGAAAAAGAAAAAAAAAAAAAACAAGTTAATCTCACCTTCATCACCTCGTTCTTTATCGTCCTTATCCTTTGGAGATTTAGGATCTCTATTGTGACCGGTGCTGGGTTGCATCGCGTCATCGCTGTCACGATTTTTAGTGTCTCCGCTGCTAAATTCCTCCGAGATACTTCGCGCTATAATCAAACAATTAGTTTGGCTTTTTAACCATTAAAGATAAGAAACACGACAAGAAGTTTAATAAAATAAAAGTCAAACAACAATTTTTCATAATATTATCGCAGCAAATCATCTTGCGCAGGCTTGTTTTATTTTTATTTGTCGCAATTGAGCTTATTTATATATATATATATATATATATATATATATATATATATATATTTATT